CTGTAAAAGACTGCATAACGTTTTGGTGGGCAACCCAAAACCGAAATTTTGAGGACAACAGTTCTTTCGCCCGGTCTGAATGGATTCTGTTCACCCAAACACCCATGTATTTCATTCGGGTCATGATTCGATCCATGGCAGGCAAAACATGTTGGACACCCCTTGACATGACTGGTTCCATCAAAGTGACATGTCGGACTTTCAAGGGTGCTGACAACTGTTCAACCTCTTTGTGCAGCTGAGCATCCGGATCCAAAGGTTCATCCCCAGCATTGACAGGGACATTTTTGGGTTCTTTGGAAAGGTCAGCTACGATTTCATCCCCAGCAATTGAGGGTTCATATTCATCATCATCACCGTCAGGGACCTTTTTTGGGTCATCACATGGTTCATCCGGCCCCCCCTGAAGCACAAACTCCTTTTCTTCGAGACCCTCCCCCCAATTGGCATCAACAGTTTCAACAACCTCTTTTGGGGGTTCGACTTCATCACCATTTTTGGGGTCTTTTGAGATTTCAGAGGAATTGGAGGTTTCACTATCCCCAAAAACCGGAACAAGTGCAGTGGCAACCAAGGCATACTTGACCATTTTCCGGGTGGCTAAGTCTCGCGCCCTAGGCAAAGGAACAAGATCAACAGCCATAGTCCAAGCAGAACTACCATGGTTTTCCCGTCGCCTATGTGGTTTCGCCCCCGCCATATTGAGAACACATGTTCGACAATCCCTTCGGTAAGGTTGGTGACCCTGGGCAATATGTTGACGCCACTGTTCAATCCCCAAACTTTTGGAAAGCTTTGGTGGTGCCAACCCATACCATTCACCCAAGACCAGCAGCGATGTGCGGAGAGCAGCACGAAGACCAGGAGCCCATAATGACCACGTTGAGGTCTGCTGCAATCGCTCATCCAAGTGCACAGCAAGATGCCTTTCCCTCTGACCGGATCGGCACCCATCAAGTTCACACATATCGGGCAGGTTTGACATGCATGTTGTTGGTTTTTTCCTAACATGACCAAACGCACCTTGATCAAAACTGAGAAGGCTCATGCCAACATTTTCATACTTGGCCAAAAACGCAAGGGTTTCATCCCATGCCCAAAAACTAGCCGATTCATCACCAGCCCCATCAGGAAGATAGGTTTTCGGGTCTTGTGGGGATTCCAAGAAAAACCCAACCCTGTTTTTGACATGTTCCATGTGCGGCCATGTTTCGGGGTTCCAACTTTCTTCAGCATGCATGTATAAACCCAACTGTTTGAGAAACATCGCAGTATCTCCATCAGTTTTTTGTTGTTGGGCTTCAGTCAACATCGGTAACCCAAAACGATCATCCCCATCACGTCCCCTAAGTCTTGGTGGTCCAGGCTGTTTTTCCAACATTCGACTCACAGACCTACAAGGTGGCCCACCAATGATTGCAATGACTTTTCCAGAACCAGCCAGTTCCCAGACATACGCCCAAGTGGCCGGATCGTGAACATTCTGGCCGTTCAGAACGTCCAAGGTGACAACCTCCAGTCCAGGCGGCCATCCATGATCCCATTCCTTGGCTGATTCGCCCGCATACAAGTGGATCACCAGTGCTTTGGCCTGAGAGTGACGTCGCCTTTGTGCACGGTTCCACGGCAGGTGACAACCCTGTAAGGACATGTTTTGACCACTCATGTATTTCCAAATTCTTTTTGGGACATTTGGGAACCTAGAACTCCACCATTCCTCAACATTTCCGGGGGTAGGTTCATGAGTTCCTACAGGGATTCTTTTCGCCATTTCCATAGATTCCACATCATGAATCAAGGCCAGTGCATTTGACTCGGAAACAACAGGACAACCATTCCGAAGCCAACAATTGATTGTGCCCCTGGTGGGGTGTTTGATTTCACATCCATTTGAACTCCATTTGATGACAAAACCCAACTCGATCAACCCTCGAAGTGGTACAATGGGTTCAACAGCTTTTTCAGCAAGGATAGTTCCCGTAAGGGGGTGTTGTTTCAGTTCCACAGACCCATGTGCCAATTCAACCAACACAGTTTCAGAGGCTTCCAATTCCTGTGGAGTTCCCCTACGGAGTGCATTTGTTGCACCACCATCCAAGAGACCAGTCGGCCCATCAGAGGGCATAACCCGTTTCACTTTCACCGCTTTACTGCACGGTTTCAACGTTTTCAACAAGGTGGAAGCATCAGTGATGATCCCAGACACATTTTCAGGGTTCCCACCATTCTCACTCCCATCCGTACGTTTTGACGTTTCACATCCAAGAGACACATCTGCCGTTGCGGCAGCATTTAAGGTTTTTTCAGGGCTTTCATGGACACCAGAACCCTTTCCCTTTTCTGGGGTCCCCTTACCCTCACTTTTGGTGGTTTTGGCAACCTTTTTTGGGGTATCATTTTTGGGGTTCCAATTCCCTTTTTTCACTGGGCAGTCAGTCCGTGAATGTCCAACACCCGAACAATTGAAACATCTACCACTTCTGGGATCCAACTGAGCATGATGAAACTTACATGAATCACCTCTCGTGCACCCTCTTTCGGTCATCCAATACTTACATGGATATTTTTTCTGAGTTTGGGGTTTCCCATCATCCCCATTTTGTGGCAACCCTGGAGGCCTATCCACACCCAATGCAGCAGCTTTCACAGATGTCCCCGTTTTCCCCCCAACACCAAGCAACAGGTCCTCAGCTTCAGCTTGAAGATGCTCGGATCGGAGTAGCGAAGAATCACGGCAGTGTGCGGCTGGCGGTCAAGGTTGAGCTGCTGGCGCACCGAATTCAATCTGTAGGCAACTTGCGGAGATTTCTGGCTAAGGCAGTCGGAGCATTTGGAAAGGGCACCTAACAGCACAATACCATCAGGGAGAACAACATTCAGTTCTACAGCCCTTTGAACATTCCGTCTCCATTGACGCAGCCATTCCAAAATCTCATTCACACTGTTACCACATTTTCCATCAGTCAACATGTGCAACAATTTGGTACGTTCAGCAGACCCTCCAGGTTGAAACAACACTGACAACCGAAAGAGCAATTGATCAACAGTCAGTTTTCGGCTAGCAATCATTTCATCCCTCACATTTTCAGGAATTGCAGCCAACAGCATGGAAGTGCACGACGCTCTGTTCTTGGAAACATTCCCATTTCAGGAGTGGCTTGAGGTTTCAAATTCAACCTTTCAAGAGGTCCAGAAATCAACCATGTTTGATAACACTGATCCGACACACCACGGACCATTTTCCACCAAGTTTCACTGGTGTACGACAAGTCGCCCATCATCGTGTCAACCACGCTGAGCCAATCACCATATTGAACCGCAGTTGCATCACCTGACAACTTCGGCAAATCCACAGTCCTCAGATTTTCCGAGGGATTTTCACCACAAACGCCTGAGCTTGGGCCGAAGCCTACGATCGAAGGCGGAAATGGTGGCAACACAGGAGGTGGGGGGCAAACATTCCCTACAATATTCCCACATCCCACAACAGACACTTTCGGAGGCGAAGGTGGTGGTGGACCCGGTGGAGGCCTAGGGATAAACAGTTCAACCAAAGGCTCTGGCACCGAAACAAAGGAACTTTGTGACCCTTGCAGGGATGGTTCATTTTTCATGCCATCCTCTTTTCCACCAACAACTCCCAAACCCTCACAACATTCATCAAAAACCATCTTTTGTCCTACTCCCCTTTTTGGTTCGGACTTCAAAGACAGCACACCTTGCCGAAACCTTTCTTCGGCATCACGCAAACACCTAAGCCTAAAGAGCTCAACAGGATCCATTTCAACATACCCTTTTTGTGGTGTGGTGGTGTTTGACACCGACTGCAGTGGCTCCTGAATCCCAGCGCTAAATCCAAGTTGCGAAGCATCCTGAAACCCAGCACTAAAACCAAGTCGCATAAGGTCCTGACCTTCATAGCCAGGCCCATAAGCTTCTCGAAGAGCTTCACGTTTGCAGTCAGGACTCCAAAACGGGTTCACTTGGCTTTGGACCCCCAAACCACTAGGCATTGATCCCTCTACCCCTTGGCCATGAACAACATGTTTTTCACTACCATGTTGCACCACATTTTTTGGGATTTCATTTTTCCCCACAACATCACCGGTGACCCACATTTGAGGAGGGTTTTCACCAACAACATTCCTGTCCAACCCACTTGGCTGGCCAGGCTCATTTTTCGCCTGCCGAACCCTTGAACCCTGGGTAACTTGTTGGGTCCCACCGTTTCCCTTTCCCGTGGCAACATGGCCTCCTTGACCTTTACCGTTACCATTTTGGGGGGAACCAGAGGCATTCCCATCAGCACCATCACTTCTACGGGCATCAGAACTCGGTTCAGACACAACAACACGTTTCACTTCAGGATTTTCTCCTTTTACCTCGAGGTTCTTTTCGCCTTTAGTAGTTTCACCTCTAACTGGCTCAAGAAAATCACCCGGAGAGAAGGACATCGGTGGACCTATGGGTTGCAAACCAGCTAACAAGTCACCCCCAGAAACACCAGACACCATCCCAGTATTCCCAGGCACATCGGACAAAGCTGTTGCCCCAGAAGTCCCAGTCGCTGCCACGTCGTCCACCAACCGCTGCAACTGCGCATCAGCCGCTTCATCAGCCAGCGCTTGAGCTGCACGCCGCTGCAAGGACGAATCTCGCCGTCGGCTCAACTCCATGCCAGGTAGAGTCACTTTGGGCTCATAACCCGTGGTTTCACACAGGTGCAACTTCGCAGCTGCTGGTGCCCTCTTTTTTGCAAGAGGCACCTTGAGCCATTTGTTCAATGGCGTGTATTCTTTGCGCAGGTGGCCATGCCATGTTGCATGCCATCCATCTTTTAAACCTTATGGTCTTTTGACCACACATGACTGCAAATGGAGTTATGGCTCGATCAACTGAACCACACTTTCAAACCGAGCCAGCACTCGCCCATTTCATTGGAGACTTGACAAATATCCATTTGGACAGGTGAGTTGACTTTCCCGCATTGCCATCCCAAGGAAATTCACTGAGAAGTGGCAGGAGCTTGTGGATCAAGCTCAATTTTTGCAGGGCCCGAAGCGCCGCTGAGGAGTCATGGGGCCATGGGGCTGTGCATTGAACGTCTCCTTAAAGATCCTTAAAGTATATGCATGATGTGGAATAGATTCGTTCGAGGACATTTCAATGATATTTTTTTCTGATCAGAGTCAGAGTCCTTTCTTAATCCTTTTGGCATGATGCATTCTTCTTCAGAATTTGAACAGCGAATTGATTTCTATGCGGATCCATTCAGTATTGGAAATTTGCTCACGGGATTTCATGCAATCGTTTGATTTTTGTTTCACCGTCACAGTGACACTTTGTGCTGGGGATGTTGACAGTGGAGTGTTGAAGCAGCGAAACAACCTCCTTTGGCCAGCCCTATGACTCTTCACTGCTGGCGATTCGAGCCCAATGAAATCAACTGCGGCAAAGCACGGGGCTTCAAGAATCTGTTGACACGTGCGTCAAGCTGGACAGAAACCGGCTTTGTTGTTTGCTGCGCCTAGCCAATCTCACAGCAGCCAGAGTCCCCAAGAGATTCTGGCCCGGACGCATTTCAAATGCAACAGCAAGAGTTTCAATCTTTCTACATAGCTGATGTTTTCTTGCGATTACACGGACAGCAGGACAAGAAAAGATGAGATGCTCGCACTGGAGATGACTTGATCCTGGTGCAACGATTCTAACTGGTGCGTGTTGAACTTATATCACCAATGGTTAGTGCTGGGATAGGCGGTAAACTGAGATGATCGTCAAGGCACCCGGAGAACAAAAATAGACTTTGCCGACAGGACGGACTTCGAGCTCGGTCGACAAGCCGCTGTTGCTGATGGCACATCCAAAAGGCACCAGCGGATACAGTAGGTACTTGAAGTTGGTTAAGGGCTGGTGAAATGAAAGGTTGCAAGTCGCAACTTCATGTGGCAGGGTGTGCTTGCAAATCATCTAGGAAATTTGGGGATCAACCTATGAGGCCGGACATGAGAAGCAATGCAAGGTTTACCCCAATTTTGCCGGTTCTGTTTTTGTTGCAGGGAAGAGGGGAAACCAAGCTGCCCAAGGGCTCCCGTTTTCAGATATCCGCTTGGACTGCCGGAAGATGAGTTGCTTCTTGCACTTTCCGCAGCAATCGTGAGCTCAGTCAGGGATGGGACAGGCGGCTGATTTCTGTGCGATGACTTGTCCATCATCCGTTGCGCCCGTTTGACACTACTAAGGTGTGGGCGCACGGGGATGGGGGCATCGGATGGCTGTAGGGAATGGCCCACGATTATCTGCAACTTGGGGTGTACAGTTAGAAAGGGGTCCGATTAGCTATCCCCCAAACTGGAAGGTTTAAGATTCAGAATTGCTAAGATCAGGGAGCCAAGATTGCAGGAAGGATATGCCTGACTTCCAATGCAGGGAAGGGACGTTGTAAGGGGCCATGTCAAATCAACACTGTTCTCATTAGTTTTCATGTTCGACATCTTATTGATTTGGCAGCGGGCAGATCCTTTTCTTGGCAGTGTTTTGTTCCTTGGACCCCAAAAACTATTGACCCGACACACGGCGAATCCAAAGCAGGCTTCAGCTGGCTTATAAATGTTGTGGGTAGGGGGGAAGTTTCAATCTTGATGAACGGATCTTGACAGTCCAGGGGCCAAACCTGTGTTGTGACTGAGACTACAATTGGAACAGGCTCTCAGTAGTTAGGATCCAACGTGCATGCATGTTTGCACTGGCATGCGTCACGGCGTTGCTGTTTATTTTTTACATGCTTGCTTGGTTCATGTAAAAACCATCTAGCTGTCGATTCTTTTTTGGTGGTCCCGTTGTCCTAAGCTCCTAGAGGAACAAGTTTTCTTGTTTTTTGTCTCCAACTTGGGCTGATTGGTTGCCCACTACGACACTGCAACTGGGGACACCCATGGAACTGTCTCTTTTGAAACGGCACTTGACACGGTGTCAATTCCAGAAGCGTTAGAGAAAGATATTACATCCAAGTCCAAGACACCTTTCCAATCCCCAGACTGGACTCGCAAGTGGTACTCCTTTTTTATTCGGTGCGGAACGGTCATGTACCTGAGCCAAAACTTCTGCCTAAAGTGACCACAACCTGCGAGATCCACGAAAATATCTAAAACATTCTAAAACACATTCTTGCGAGCTTTTTGTAAGTTGGACCCCATGTGGTTGGACCGTATGATTGAACATTTTTTGGATTGAGTTTGGGGGCTCTCTGCTGATACTTGCTGATTTTGCTGTAGTCTAGCATTTTTGATGTGAACCTTTGAAGTCCTCCAACTTCATGATGCTATTGAGCTGAGATTGGCGCCAGGTGTACTGAAGAAGCACCTCGTTCAGAAAGGTGCGAGGACGAATATGCTGAGCAGGACGAATATGCTGCTCAGGATATTCGTCCTCGCACCTTTCTGGGAGGGGGCATCCTTTCCTCCGCTACAGGCCAGGCAATTTTAGCCTTTGCGTTGGTCGATGAGGATGCTGAAGAATGGCAGTCCATGGCACTTCAGATGTGTTGCGGCCAGGAGTAGGTTTAATTTTCTTGCCTTGAACCTGTGAAAGGATAGCTCTAACAGTACTCCATACTGCCTACAACTGTATGCCCTCCCTTCCACAAATACGACATTAACATGGATGACCAAGATGGAAGAACACACGCAGGTGAGTACCGGGCACAAATGTTCAGACAAGCGGCATAGTAGCAACTACTGCCTCCATACCGCTGCTGAGTTCGACCTTCGTGGGTGCTCAGGAGCAGCAGTAAAGTATTCCTTGGAGGAGTTGGGCAGTGATCCGAAGCGCCTTCTTGAGCCATTTGTGGAGTGGCGCTGCAAGAATTCATACTGTTTCCGCCACCAAGGAGAACCGTGGAAGAACTGCCCGGCAGTACACACTGGAGCTTCAAAAACCCGAGCAACATAAAGATGTTGCTCGGGTTTTTCAAGCTCCAGTGTGTACTGCCGGGCAGTTCTTCCACGGTCCTTAAAAGATATTGTGACACTGCTGCAACTTGGTTCAAGACTGTTCATCCTGCTGTGAGCTCGAATCATTTCAAAATGGTTGAGAATCATCAGTTCATATCAGAGAGCATCATGGAGGGCCCTGGTTTACCAGGTCCCTGGTTCCCGAGCCCCGCTTGCTGAGGGGGGATGCAGAGCGCAAGCAGCAGAAGGCAATTCAGGAGGTACAGAAAAAGTTTTCTGTGCCGCCTCAATTGCCTTCTGCTGTGCACAGCTGCGAAAGCGCGAGGAAAAACTGGCAAAGGCGCAGAAGAAGGCGGAGGAGCAACTGGGGTCGCCATCTCGTTGGGCCACTCTTTTCGAGAGATGAGTTCCAGCCATCCAAAGCATGGGCATTGGCATGCAGCGGCACGCACAACAAAATATGCACAAAGTAACCAAAACATATCAAAACAAATTTTCGACATGTTCCCACGCTTTTTCTTGGAACTTCGCAGGAGCAAGAAAGAGCTCAAGCTGAGAGAGCCGCAGCTGCAACCAGAGCTGCAGCCGCGTCATCAAGCTCGAGGACCTCCAGACAGAACAAGTTGCTACAATTCAACCCAGGGTAATCCAGGGTGTGTGATTTTGGCTGACAGGCAACGCTACGAGCTCGTGTGCCAAGAAGGAAGACAAAGGATTCCTCAGGATTCCGAGACGCTGGGTGAACGTCAGTGAATGTAAACACCAAACACGGACCCAAAATGTCGGTGTACCATCAACAAACATATTGGGATACGAAAACATACTGGGATACGAAAACATATTTGGATATGAGATGAGAGCCTACTATAGGGCAACAATTTTCGTGCTGTTTCAATACTTGTCCAAAGAGTTGTTCCCCTGTACGAACTAAGGCCTTGAATAAATCATCAAAATTCCACAAACAGGTACTCGTAGCTGTATTTGATTTTCGGAGTTCAGTTCCCAGGGCCAAGACTTTGCAAGAGGCCTGGAAAGTAGATGGAGTTTGACCGTCAAGCGTTTGTGTTCCCAGTTGTGCCCACGAGCTGGCTGCAAGCCCATTTAAAGGGAGATCCTAATATGCAAGCTAGTACTTCACCGGAGCGTTCATTTAAAATCAAATGCTTTCTTTCAAACCGAGCCAACACTCGCCCATTTCATTGGAGAGTTGACAAATATCCATTTGGACAGGTTCGTTGACTTTCCCACATTGCCATCCCAAGGAAATTCACTGACAAGTGGCAGGAGCTTGTGGATCAATGCCAATTTTTGCAGGGCCCGAAGCGCCGGTGAGGAGTCATGGGGCCATGGGGCTGTGCATTGAACGTCTCCTTAAAGTATATGCATGATGTGGAATAGATTCGTTCGAGGACATTTCAATGATATTTTTTTCTGATCAGAGTCAGAGTCCTTTCTTAATCCTTTTGGCATGATGCATTCTTCTTCAGAATTTGAACAGCGAACTGATTTCTATGCGGACCCATTCAGTATTCAAATTTTGCTCATGGGAATTCTTTTGGTGATAGGGATTGTTTGCAAAGGATTTGATTTAGTTTGGTTCCCATGGTTGCGTAGGAACTTTCCTGAGGACAGCACCATATGCCGAGAGTGTCACTGCAAGGACCGTGAAACAAAGATTGGATAGGAAGCATTCTGATAAAGTGCAGTCATCCTCCTGATGACTGCACTTTATCAGAATGCTTCCTATCCAATCTTTGTTTCACGGTCCTTGCAGTGACACTCTCGGTTAGGGTGGATGTTGACAGTGGAGTCGTGAAGCAACTCTTGAAACAACCTCCTTTGGCCATTTTGACTTGGCACGGTTTCGTCACTACAATACCACTGCGGAGAAAGAAATCAATTGAAACTCGGCAAAGCACGGGGCTTCAAGAATCTGTTGACACGTGCGTCAAGCTGGACAGAAACCGGCTTTGTTGTTTGCTGCGCCTAGCCAATCTCACAGCAGCCAGAGTCCGCAAGAGATTCTGGCCCGGACGCCTTTCAAATGCAACAGCAAGAGTTTCAATCTTTGTACATAGCTGATGTTGTCTTGCGATTACACGGACAGCAGGACAAGAAAAGCTGAGATGCTCGCACTGGAGATGACTTGATCCTGGTGCAACGATTCTAACTGGTGCGTGTTGAACTTATATCACCAATGGTTAGTGCTGGGATAGGCGGTAAACTGAGATGATCGTCAAGGCACCCGGAGAACAAAAATAGACTTGGCCGACAGGACGGACTTCGAGCTTGGTCGACAAGCCGCTGTTGCTGATGGCACACCCAAAAGGCACCAGCGGATACAGTAGGTACTTGAAGTTGGTTAAGGGCTGGTGAAATGAAAGGTTGCAAGTCGCAACTTCATGAGGCAGGGTGTGCTTGCAAATCATCTAGGAAATTTGGTGATCAACCTATGAGGCCGGACATGAGAAGCAATGCAAGGTTACCCCAATTTTGCCGGTTCTGTTTTTGTTGCAGGGAAGAGGGGGAACCAAGCTTCCCAAGGGCTCCCATTTTCAGATATCCGCTTGGACTGCCCGAAGATGGGTTGCTTCTTGCACTTTCCGCAGCAATCGTGAGCTCAGTCAGGGATGGGACAGGCGGCTGATAGAGCCTCTGCGATCCGAGCTTTCTCGGCCATGAGTGATTTCTCACTTGGATGCTACGTGAAGATTAAGGGCTTGACCAGCAAAGCACGTTACAATGGCTTCACAGGCAGAATTGTTGTCGCTCAGAACCAGGAAGGCAGGTGGGGTGTGGAGTTCTTCTTTGTTGATGGGGTGAATGACCTGAAGACCATCCTGGCCAAAGAAACAAACCTCGAAGTGCTCTCCGAAACTCCGCCATGCCGGGCTTCAAGCGGCAAAATTCTGTTGGTGGATGGCTTTGGTTACTTTGATCCAGGGGACAGTTTTATGACCAAAGTTTTGTTGGGATGTGAGTCTGCATTCTTCAAGGAGTGTGGCGTGGTACATGTTTCCTTTGACGATCAGAAACCCAAAACAGGCGAGTTTTGCGAAAAGGCAATTTTAGCTGCTTGTGCAAACCCTGCAGATTTTCGAGCCATCGTTGTGTCTGACCTGAGTGTTGCGTTTGAAGCTGCCATTCAATACATTGCACGCCCACTGAACGTGTTTATTCCATGGCACTGTGTTGTTTCCAACAGCAGAAGGTGGTAACTGGTGCCAAGAGTTTTTGGGGCCAGTCTTTGGGGATGTGGTGTCATGGCAATGTGGGAATTACTATCGAGCAACCCATGCTGCAGTTGAAAGGAACAGCAATGTGGGCAAGTTCTTCCCTGGCATGGCAGACCTGAAATTTTCGGTGAAGGGGTCCATGCTCGAGAATGTCCCAATTTCCGAGAACTTCTACGCCACCTCCCAAGATGCAAAACTCTTTCGATATCTATGCGATGACTACAAAGCTTCAGAGGATTCTGATGACAAACGTAATAGCGTGATCGTTGCGATCAAGTCTGGAGGTGATCTAGGGGGCACAATTGCATACTTTGGAGATATTAATGCTGAGCCAACCACCCAAGTTTTGATGATCAATCTCCTTCGACAGAGTCCCATCAGTGTATCCATTCCTTATGGGACGCAGGTAAATTCAGTCCATTCCGCTCGATGAGTCCAGATTTGCAGAGGAGCAGTTTTTGCAGGGCGATGCATGGCCAAAGGCTTAGAACGTCAACTCATTTAGCGCTCTTCGTAGTTGGATAGTAGTCTGGAGCCTCGATTTTGAGACACAAGTGGAACATCTGAAATAGTCCTCTGCCACTGTGCAAGGAGTTGTTCCACAAAAAAATGCGGATCTGTTGCAGCCAGAAAAACCTAAGCATTGCTGGTTGAAAGGAGGTATTTTGTTTGTCCCTTTGATATTCTATGATCCATACCTTTGAATGATGAGAAGTACGACTAGTCACTGGTGTGAACGCGTGAAAACGAAACTTGATGACGTTAGATTCCACTTTGGCAATCTCCCGACACTAAGACGCTTCGCAGACCAGTCCAGCGCAGACTCAGCAGATTTGCTAAGACATACCTTGAAGTTTTAGCAGGCAACCTCACGCAATCCTCATTTTGTGGTTGGAAGTTGTGAGTTTGAACCCCTCCATGGTGACCCCATCTATACACCAGTCACTGCGCAGGTTGACCAAGCTGGGCAGATGCTTCAAACGGGCAGAAACAGATATGAGAAGGCAAGATGACTTGATGCGAGTTGTGATGGTCTCCAAGGGCCTATCCAAGAAACCTTGATGTGATATGATGTGATCTGCAGTTCCTGTTTTTCGAGGTCGCCTTAGAGACCAGCGATACCAGCACACTGAGAAGCATGAGCTGAGTCTCTTTCATATCAAGGTTGCCTGATTCTCCAACCTTAAGAGTCTTAGCGTTTGTATAGCTGATGCTGTGTCGCGATTGTATGAACAGCGGGACAAGAAAAGGCGACATCTTTTGGACTGGAGATGTTTTGGTCGTTGTGCGAATTGAGTGGAATTATTCATTTTCCAACAGAAATCGGCACTGCGTCACTGCCATGCCTAGAATCTGAGCTGGTTGGCAATCTTGGTGAGCCAAGGAACCAGGGATTTTGCAATTGCGATCAGGAAAATCTTCTGACATGGACCCTTCTTTGCCACATGCTGAAATTTACAAACATTTCTGCAGGTCCTATCTATACTTGTCCGCTGAATCATACAGATTTCCAAGCAACTTCTCATGCCAAATTCATTTTGAGGGATCAATCAGGATCAGGTTTTTGCTTGGGTAGCTGGGTAGCTTCAGTTTTCACCACGTTTCCACTCTGGTTTTACAATTTTCCGACGTGGACGCTGAACCGCTCCGAAACTCTTGGCCGGTAGCCATGTAGGCAGATTGTCATCGAAAGAGATTTTGAAATATTTTGGAGGCAAACATCTGCATCGAGAACCAAGAATCATGGTGAAATTTAGAGTATGACGATTATGAAGTGAGTGCTGCGAAAACTGGTGCATGTTTACAAAGGTGCTTAGTCTCCCACCGCGGTTTTTTTTGCAAATGTTTTGATTGCAAAACATGTTTTTATTGGACTCCACTAGGGCCTAGGGCGGCACTACGTTCAAATCCAGTTGTTTGGCACTTTGTAAACCAACATGTTCCAAGGATTTGCAGAAAAACACTTGGACAATCAGACAGTCAGACAGTTGCATGTCGTGACTGTGCACAATGGTCGACTGGTGCTGAAAGTCTGACCCTTGAGATTTGGCGTTGATGAGCTGATTGCTGCCATGAATTTCACACGAGGTCAGGCCCCAAAGGAGGGTGTGGCGAAAGGCGCGGGTAAGGCGCAACTCATGTGGCATGTGGGGGTTCAGCGGTTCAAGGGGGAACAATCCTCCCCAAACTTGGAGAGAAATACACGTGTGACAGGCAATTTCCAAGGTATTGGCATCCATCTTTTGATTAGAAATTCGTTTATAGATTTTATAGTGGGTTCGCCTTCAACCCCTTGGATTTACCTGAAAAGATCCCTGAAGAGCACAATTTTGAGAGGAATGAGTTCAGGCATTGAGGCATCCTAGGAGGATCAAAAAATCTCTCAAAAGTCATATGAGCCATGGTCAAAACATGTTTGATTTTCCCATGGGTGAAAGTGGATGGTCGTCCCTCCATTAATCCAAGACCTCTAAGTTTAAATCCTTCCATATGCTCCCCAAAAGTGAATAGATCCAGTAGAGAATCAGGGTTTCAATGAGGGGCATTCAATAGTGGGGTTAAGACAAATAGCACTATATATCACTATAACATTATATAACATAGTATTTACAGCATTTTATAGCCTCAATTTACAACCTGTTTATTCTGTTTAGGTTTCCCCAGCAGGCACCTGAAGATGGCCAGCCTGGGGATCCCCGGCCTGTCCGAGCCCCGACCCCTTGGTGCAAGCGATGGGGCGACAGAAGACTTTGAGCCGTGATCATAGTGATCATAGTGACAAGTTGCTGGACTTATTACATCTTATTACATGCTGTGCTGCAATATTTGTCATACATTTGTCAGAAGTTATCACATACGTAATAATTGCATATAATTGCAAACATACGAGCTCATAAGATCCCATAAGATCCCATAGGTATGGATTTTGAGCACACATGATTGACTGTTGTACACACGTGGACAGTTTTTTGGAAGACGCCATCTCAGCAACAGGGCCCGTGCTCGTACATTTGATAAGCATTGATAAGCTGATAAGCGCTATTCTATATTATTGATGTCTATGCGGCTATGACTCAACTCCAAATTATAAATGTTTGTTTCCTGGAGTGAGCTTGTATCCTGCTGTGCAAAGTTGACAGCCCCTCGAAGACAGGCTGTTTGACATAGACTGCAACGTTTTCTCTCTGAAGATGTCCTGGCTGGGCTTAGTTTGGAGAACATCGCCAACTCAAGATTCCGCCGACATAGACACTACGCAAGACGGGAGACACAACTCTTCTCATCTATCACAAGTTCAAGATTCAAGTTTCGGGTATGTCGACCCGCAAATGGCCGGACATCCCATTTGATCATCATCAATAAACCGGCAGGTTTCCAATCCCCAATTCGAAAAAATCCAGAACCAGCCACTTATACTATGTTATATTGTATAAGATTCCCATATATTTTTCATGGTCCACAGATGTCCACAGCCCCACAGCCCTGATGGTTCAATGATGTGAAGTTCAAAAACCGAAAAATCCCCGTTCCACCATCCCCCCTGCCATGGATGAGTCGGAGCACTTGCTGAAGCTGCGGGCGCTGCTAGCACCGAAGGCCCGGTTCCAGCAAAACCCCAACGTAGACAATAGATTAATAGATAAAATGATGAAATGAAATAAGATTAATATAAGAATAGTCTGGGTTGGAATATTCATCACTACATTTAGCATCATTAAACCATATTAAACCTATCTAAAGGGTATTTTTTTTGCTCTTGAGCCACACTTGATATGACTTGAAGGTTCACGTGGCCAAAGTTGATCTTAGGACCCCCAACGAGATGGCTGTTGGACTAGAGAATTGTTTCTTTCTGATAAGCGTCAAACAGTTTTCAATTTCTTGGCATTCAAATAGCTTCAGCAACATAAGATTTGCATCAGGTCCAGAAGAAGCTACGAATCGTTCAGTCGGCTTCGTCAAACGACCCTGAGGCGCAGGATGAAGCTCCCACGAAGAAGCGGAAAGTGGAAGAAGTGGAGGGCCCTGATTGGACCTCTCGCTATTGCAACGTGACAGCACTGGGAGAATTGGTGAATTTCTGAACCAACTTGCCTAGGGACAATTTCCAGAATCTGTAGAAGTGGTAAGCCTAAAGAGTTGAAACTTGACACCGGCCAAACTTGGGGCTTGAAGGACTAGTCTTAGTTTCATGCAGAATGCACAATAAAGTCTTCACCGATTCACTGCGATAGGATGATCGCCAGGTGTGGTGGATGCCGCTGCAGCACTGACGCCTCTGGATGCTTTAGCAGTGCCTTTGGCGGAGCCCATGCTGGAGGCCTTGAAGAAAAATGGCTTCGATCCGCTCTTTCCGATCCAGGCGTGCCAAGCCATGATCTTTTTAGGCAAACCTGCAAGAAATGCTCAAGTTTGGAAATGGGACACTTTGATTCACAAAACGACATCACTCGAAACTCGACTTTCTTAAAAACAAAACACATAGTTGTTGCATGTTTTTTTTCTTTTCCGGAACTTTTTTGCAAAATGCAGAGGTTCCTTGATCTTTATCAATGGAGTCTCAGCCCACCTCAGCCTGCCTTTCCCCAGGCCATGGTCATTCCCTTGTTGCTGAAGTGTGCGGAAGCTGCTGACGACGAGGATTCGGCCTACTGCTGCTTTGTAGCAATAGCATCCTGTCGCTGCCATGGCCTGCCTGCGCATTGCCAGTAGCATCATGATCTGGAAATTCCGAGATTTTTTTCCCAGCAACTTTCAAAAGGTATACGATATATGTCTCACCAGGAGGAGCTACTCTTCTCTGTGTAAGGTTGCTGGTAGTCCTGTGGTTTGCTGCAAAGCCATACCTGAGGCTGTGATGTCTGCGTAGCAGCGCCCACCGGTCAGGGAAAGACCTTGGCTTATGCCGTGCCAATTGTGCAGGCAAAGATGCCCTACAGGGCCCTTGAGGATTGTGTTGCGGAGCCCCCGACCAGCACACGGAACGCATGTGCAAGAGTCGACTTCAGTGGTAATCTTGATCATGCGAATCATGCGCTGTAAAGGGTTGGGCCCAAGCATCCGCTTCACGTTGGTGACGCTAAAAGGCGTCATGTCATAGCCATGTTATGCCATGTTTGTGTTGTATAAAACAGCGACTTGGGACATCACCGTCGCAATCACCTATTTGGCCTTATGGTCAGCTGAAGGAGTTGATTGTGCAACCCCAAACTTGACTGATGCCGAGTGCTTTGATATCATCGTCGACTCATGGCTCCCTACCAACAAGGTTCTTTGTGGTCAAAACTTTGGCTTGTCCAATGAGGAGTTTTCCTTGGATCTGCCAGCTTTTGAGCTTGCGAACAACTTTACCCGACGTGGCTCAGATCTGTGGCTGGATGATGAAGATCAAGGTTTAAAGACCTGGGTGGGTTGTGGGAATCATCCTGGACTTGTGAATGGCACTTCATATTGTGCCCAGACCAGCAGTACCATTGATCTGGGGACCATCCTGGGTGATTGGGGCGTCTTGGAAGGTTTGACACCGGTGGCATGCTTGGCCTACAACGTGCAGAACTCTGCGGTTTCTGTGTCCTTTGATCCGCCTCTGTCTACGGAGTTCATCTTGCCTGCCTTTCCGGTGGTGTTGAAGCTCTTTGGATATACCTTTGCGCCGGATGCTGAGGTGTGGAAAGAAATGGAAAGAACATGAACAAACATTGCAGTTGTGTCCCAACGCATGCTGTTTTCAACTGTTTTCAACTGAACATTCAGATCTAGGAAGAACTTCTGTTCGCTGCAAAACAAGTTGCATGGCATTATGGCCAATAAGCTAGTTGCAGAGGGCCGAAGCCTTTGTCGAGATCTTTCTTTTGCAAGCTCAGGTTCCCTTGTTTGACTACATTGGTGCAGACTTGCAGTTGAAAACCGGAGAAGTTCTGAAGACGCACTTTGCTTTTTCTGGAGTTGTGGAGCTGGCCTTTGGAATTCCTTTCATATTTGAGCTGGTCTTGCCTGTTGAGGGTGTTTTTGGAGTGTATTTGGATTTTGGTGGCTCTGGGACACTGGCGCAACCTTACAAAGTCATGGAAAGTCTGGTGAAGTTCAGCAATGAGGTCACCCTCGAGTGGGCTGTTGTGATCCAAGTTTCTTTGCGGCCGCAACTGGCCGTTCTGGGCTTTGAGTTCAATTTTCCGGTCTCAGCCAAATTTCAGGCGCAGATTTCGGTTTTTTCTGGTGGTCCTGGTGGCTGCAACGAGCCTGTTTTGTGTCAAAAAAGCAAGTCTGCCATGGGTTACAAAGATTTCACTGGTATCAAAAGAATTCAAAAGATATCTTCAGCCAATTTCAGTCATGTCGGTTGAATGAAGAAGGGTCTTTCGGTCTGCGCAATCTTGAAGAGGCTGGCCACAGAGGTTCCCCTGTGAGGTACTGTGGAAGACTGGAGCAGGTTCCTTTCCCAACGTCTATCTCTCTGGAACGCTCTACCATGCCACTTCGCTCGGTGAACTGATTGGTGGTCTACCAGACCTGGGTGTGGTGTGCACGGTTGACTTCTTCCCAAATGCTGCAACTTGTCAGTTGGGATCCTTTGATTTCGTGCCTGGTGTGGGAGACGAACACTTTCTGCCGAAGTATATGTTTGTTTGAAGCAAATTCTGCTGATTCAGGCCTGATTCGTAGAAGAATTTGGTTTATGAATTATGGGCCCTCCATAGGAAAAACACATTTCACGGTTCTTTGCTGGAAGATGCGCGGCTACAGATATCATCTACTGAAGGGTACAGTTTTGGCTTCCACCCAGAAGCACCCCGAGTCTCAACACACCCCTTGATGTGCATATTTCAACGGAGGTTTTTGCTGCAATATACATAATAATATAACCTTCATCAATGAAAGTGCCATAAGTTTTTTGCATTTCTCCATGATTTGAATTCCATGGAATTCCTGTCAGGTAAGGGAGAGTCCGTTCTGCAAAGGAGACGACACCATGGAGGATGAACCAGAGGCCGGGCTCATCCCATTGAGAGGGGCGTATACCAATTGGGTTGTATCATGAGATATCAGGAGTTATTGATAATTGATAATATGATTGATATATATTGATATAACATATATAACACGGTATATCCGTAATATATGTAATTGGGTTATAGATGGTTATAGTATGCAGTATTATGAGTATTGAGTTATTAACCGTGGACCCAAACTGGGACGCACATCCAAGTAGCGGCTTCCAGGGTCCAAGCTTTGGATTGAATTTCAGCAGGTCGGTTTGTATTTCACGATGGAGAACGGCAAATCTGTGGCAGATGTTCGAGCATGGGGTATGTGGCTGGCCATGAAGGTTGACTCTTCAAGTGGCAGCTTGACACTTTGCAAAGATGGAGAGTGCTCCCAGGAGTTTTGCATCTGGGATTCTCAATGCATTGAAGGCTATCACTGTTGCAAGACCAACTTCGAGTTTACCTGCCCAAAAAAATACAGGCCGGAACAAGTCGAAACGTGAGGCTTGCTTTCGACCTTGAAGGGTAGTTTTGATTTCTAGAGTTCTCCTTCGTGCGGTGTGCTAACTTCGTTTCAGCTGACAAGTCCTTGCAGATTGACACCAATTAGCTTCTTTGACAACTCCACCAGTCAAGAGTCCATTGGTACTTCTTTACAAAAATCATAGACTACTGTCAAAAAAATCGAGAACCCCATTTATATCTATTTGCAGGTGTTCTCTTTCCGAATTTGTATTTCCCACTTCCACGTTTAATTATTAGAAGGAACATCCATATCATTGTTGCTTTGATTAATCCCAATTTGGTCAGATTACGAGAGGATAGTAGGCACCAGTTAACCCCTGTGTTTTGATCAAATGGGTTTGTTCAAAAAAGGGGGGAGACCCAATTTTGTGGCCACAAAAAATGGAGCTTTAGAATATCATTTTCTCGATCATGAACTTGACTGGGGTTTCAACATTTTCAGTGAAACCTGTCTCCATTAGTGGGACAAAATCCATTGAATTCCTGATTTCCAATGCTTATACCAAAGTTATATAAAGCCCCAAATTTTGACACCGCAGGCACCGTTTGTTTGCCACCGACCTTAGTTGTTTGGAGCTTCCCGCCGCTCAAGCTGTGGGTTTGGCGGTGGATCCTGCAGATGGAAAGCTGGAAGGGGAAGCGTGTGCCTCGGATATTTCCCTTATGGAGCCGCTTGTGATATACCAGACCGACCATTAATATGAATGCCTTCGTTGGACATTCCCTTTGAACCAATTTTAGAAATATTCCTTGTTTATCCTTGTTTAGCATTTGATCCGTCCCATAGTGGGGTACCATAGTGGGGGTATGTAAGATGCGCATATAGCTGGATGGTGATTAGTCTGATCCAAGTTACTTAATCCGTAATGATGACCCGGTGGGGAGTTTTGGGGTTGACTGATTAGCCTCGGAGTTTTGCGTGTGGTGTGGGGCCACCAAGGTCTTGACCCATCATATCTTTGTGGGCAGGTTTTTCACAAAGAGATGAGTGAAGTGTTGTCTGATACTTAAACTGTACAGCTGTAGTTGGAGAGTCTGAGTTGTTCGAATTGACAATATATTGACAATACATCTGCAAGAACATTACACACTCATCAGCCCAAACCAATCGTTAAAACGGGCGGAAGCCCTCCTTCCGGCCTTGGCTCCATCGGTAGGCCCTCACGCCAAGGTGCGCTGGACTCAGATTGCGGGATTGGTCTGCACTGTTGCATGGAAACTGGAGATCCCTACTGTCGAAAGATTCAAGAGCTCAGTCTTCTGGCCATGGTGTGAGTCAGGGATGGACGGGGGGTAGTTTCCTGAAGCCCTCAGAGTAAACATTTTTATCAAAGTTCAGAAGACTAGTTTAGTTCAGCTATATGTCTTTGAAAGCAAATGGTCTCAGTAAGATAAAGCAGATCAGGAGCTTGAGCTTAGCTCCGTTGACGATACTGCTGTCTTCTGCAACCTCTTCACAGTGGGTAAAAAGAGCAAACACGCTGTTGGGAGTAAGATTTAAAACATATGGGTTTGCCTGAAAGTGGGATGCTCCCAAATTTGAGGGTTTGTCATGATTTCGCATCATTTTATCCTTGTTTTTCCCCATTGAAAGAGCCATAAATTGGGGTGGGGATCCATCCCCCATTTTTTTTGGAGACACGCTCCCGCTCCATTCTTGAGGCATGGTTGGCCTTCAGTGCTCCTGCCTCTTCGCAGCCACTGGAGCTTGTGAGGAAGCGGCCTCTGTGGCACCCCAAAGGGGTGGAACCATGGTTACAATTACCTTGGCCGCGTTGATTTTGAATTTGTGAACACGGAGGTTGGTTCTGAAGTCTATTAAAGTCTATCAGATCACAAAAGATGATCCAGTTACATGATCCAACTTCTGTGTGCAGCTGCTAGGATCGTTTTAATTTTCAAGGTCCTTGTGAGGCTGTTCTGCACCAAGCCTTCTGCGAGTTAAACTCCCGTCAGGGTTGGACCAAAAGACAGAACGAATAGATGCACAAAATACCGAGCGAGAGGAATCTTTTTTGTCTTAAGTGGGATTCATTCCATTTATAAGTGGGTCAATCAACACATGCTTACATACTGTACCAACTGGGATGCTGTCTATTTCTCTTATATGCAAAAAAGAACAACACACCCCAACTGGCCTTCCTTGTGGCTGTTGAGATGGAATCCAAGTATTTCTGTGGCACTAAGACTGGATTAATTGGATGAAGCACAGGCATTCTGCTCTGCCGGAATCTGATAGCCAAACTAGCCTGCATTTAGGATTGTTCTTGTTGGTGGCTGTTGGCCACCGCGCTTTTCTCTTCGTTACCGGTGGAAGATGGCGATGATGAAGATGGATGATGAGGATGACGACGACGACGACAATGATGCTGCTGCTGCTGCTGATGATGATGATGATGATGCTGCTGATGATGATGCTGCTGCTGATGATGATGATGATGATGATGACGATGCTGCTGCTGCTGCTGATGATGACGATGACGACGATGATGATGATGACGACGATGATGATGATGATGATGATGACGATGACGATGCCGCTGCCGCTGCTGCTGCTGCTGATGATGATGATGATGACGATGACGAGGACGAGGACGATGACACTTTACTGACGACGGTGGCCCACGTCATGACGATGATTCAGAAGATCGAAAACGAATATGCTATTGCTACTGCTATGTCTCTTCCCAGCCAGCTGAGAATTTTTGCCCCTCCAGGCGCTGTTGGACCGTTTGGTTTGCCATGTCCGAGCAGTGGTGCTCTTGCCTACCAGGGACCTGGCGTTACAGGCCGGCTAGGTGGGACTGGAAACAAGGTTATGAAGGATCCCCTTTATGGCATTCTTTTCCACAGGTTCTACCTCTACAGACAACTGCCTTTTTGTCTGCGATGTCATTTGGGCTAAAAACAAAGCAGCACTTGAACTCTGGAAGCAGAGGACATAATGGAACTAACAGAGTTAGGGATCAGAAACTGTTCCTTCATGATGCTCTCAATGAACAAGCCGGACTCCCATTTTTCAACCTGTCTGTATTTAGAACCGCACAACAGGTACATACCTCTTAGACGTGTATGTTTTTCTATTCTGCCACACCAATGCAGCTGATGATTGGAGTAAACCTCTCAGAAGCACAGTGGATTCAACGGGTTCAACGGGTTCTACGCGTCCAGGTCTTTCGCGTCTTCGAGTCCTTGTGCAAAGCGCTGCCTTCAAAGTCCTTGCGCTTGCACTGTGCTGTTGGCACCAAGGACCTTCGGATGGGACGCATCTCAAATCATCTCAACACCTGGAAGAGTTGTGGATTTTGAGTGATTTTGAGTTATTGGAATTAATTAAACAACGTTTTATTTTCTCTGCTCCGGCACTGCGGCACCGCAGGCTGTGGCACAAGAAAAGCAGCTGTTGAAAGACACTCCACCGGACATTTTGATTTGTACTCCTGGACGCCTTTCTGAACACTTCTTGGGACGAGGCACCGAGAAATGCCGAGAAATGCCAGGATTGTTCGTCCTATCGAAGTGCGAGGAAACGAGTGAAGTTGCTATTGAACTATTTGAAACGAGAGTTTTGTCATGTTTCGATGTTTGGACCTGGTGGTCATGCCTTGTGCTCTAATAAATGTGCAAACAGACTGCCCCTTTCAACCGCTTCCACAGTATAAACCTCAGTCTAAGAGTCACCAAGACATGTGAATGTTCTTTTTCGGCATGAAGCAGTTGCTATGCTTGAAATGACCAGGGCAATCATTGTCAGATAGTCACCGTAGTCTCGGTTTCTTGGTTGGAATTCACTGGAATTCACCCAGCTGAGCTGCTCAGATGCGTGTCTCGATCTGCAGCATCTTCGATGGTTCGTGGTGGACGAAGCTGACCGACTTTTGACACAGAGCCCAAGCTTCGTCGGTTCGCCGCGGGGTCTGTTGCGGTTCATCCAAGTAGATCTTAAACGGCACGGGGGTGAGATATCTGATATCGCAGTGATTATGAGAAATTATATCATGGATGATATTAATCAAATCAGTATACAGATGTATACATAGTGTATATATATATAGTCTCTACATCAATATTGCATCCATGGCTGAAAGCTCATGGCTGAGGACATACCACCGGTGGCTGGAGGTCATGGACCGCGCCTGCCGAGATGCTACGGTGTCGGTTCGGCCGCAGAAGCTGTAGCTGGATGGAAGTCGTTGGGCCGATACCCAGTAGATATAGTTGATATATAGTTGATATATAGTTGATATATATAGGGTAGCTGATAAACTAAAAATCTAGTTGATAAACTAAGAATCCCTCAAACTGTTGATATATAGTTGATATACCCAGCTATAACATGGTGATGTTCCATAGTTTTTTGTATGTTTACCAGAGGGTATTGTTACAAAAACTATCTGAAAACTGGGATATCAGGCAAAGTGAGATATCATACGGGGCGAGGTAGCGATATTTTCGGAGCCATTTGGGGCTTGTGGGATCTTCTTTTGTGTCTTCAAATCTTCAAAGATAGCTGGGACAGCTGGGAACCAGGAACCGTACTGAACCGTTCGGTCCTAGGCTTTTCTCCGCCACTATGACCTGGGATCCACGGAAGCTGGCTCAGCTGAAACTGTTGAGGCATGGGATCGAGAAGCCTGCCAAAAAGTCACAAGATGAAGTTTTTGGTTTTATGGAATGACTGAATGACATTCAAATTTCAGTTGGAATGTTCTTGGAGTTTGTTTGAACTGCTTCGGTTTTGAAACCGATCCTCAAGATTTTCTTGGATTTGGGTTCATAAGACTGGAAGTTGATTCGAAAATAATGGGAATCTGAGATTTCGGCAGCCCTTGGAGTTAGTTCATGTTACTCTTCATGTGTACATAGTTACTCTTCATTTCTTAGCTCTCGAAGCTCTCGATGTGAGGCCGTTGTACTTCTTCTCGTCGCGCACCGGGCAGCATGCGACACCCGCGCAGCTGCAGCAGCACTATCTGCGGTGCCCTGCGAGCTCGAAACCTCTGGCCGTGTTGTATCTCCTGGAGACGGGGATGAAATCATCATTTCGTTATTAGATAATATGAATATAATGTAAGTATATGGTATAGTATGGATTTTTGATATGTGATATTATATATAATATTATGTAATCTATCTAAGATGATGTGTATATATATATATATACATATGATTATATAATATTATATTATAAGTACAGTATGGGTTTTGGTTATGTTTCCCCTGTTTCCCAGTGCTGGCAACTGCCTGACCCACCTGAAAAGACACAGACTTTGACGGACTTTGCGGACTCGCAGGAGCACGTGCTGCGAAGTGCCGGGCAAGATCATGAACACGTCAAGGCCCGATGCCTGGTTTCTGGCAAGTCGCACTTTGTTGTGAGAAGAACATAGAGAGATGGAAGCGTGAAAACCAAGATGCTGAGATTTGACCTTTTGAGTTTGAGGTAATTACTGCAAGGGAACGACCTGCCAATTCAGCTTGACTAGAGATGCCATGTCAATGTCAGATTTCGTGAATGATCTTGCCAGCACTTGCCATCCATGCGAATCGTCTCATTCTGATGCTGTCAGGTCATTGTCTTCTGCCAATCCGTGAACACTGCGCACCGCCTGGCACGGCTGCTGCAGATTTGTTGTGCACTGCGAAAAGTGGGGGAGGAAGCAGAAGAGGAAGCCAAAACAGAAGATGAGCTGCTGCAGGAGACGGGTCAACATGAAAAAGATGTCCAGATTATTCTAAACTTACCATTGGGCGACTTTGAATTTGAGCGCGGAAGCTACAAAGACGAGTTCTTTGGCTTTAATACATTGCTTCGATCATATTTTGCTCCTTCTGTGGAGGATGAAGATATTGTTATCATCGGGCTTTTCACTTGGGCAATCTGAAGCAACCGTGGCCACTGGTGCTATCCAGAAGGGATCCCATAAATTCCTGACCTCAGCATGGTAGCGACAACGTCAACAAAGCAGGATGGAAGCAGTGGGAAGTGCTAAAGTGTCTGAATTACCATAGGCAAAGGGCAACAGCGTCTACCAACTTTGAGGCATGTTGTGCCTGTTTCTTTTGATAGTTTCAGCAGTCCGCAGACTTGCTGACAGGCTATATAAATCTATATCAGATTCAGACCCATTTGGCCAACTCTGACTGATATAGTTTTTGAATGTCTTTGAGCCATGCTCAAAGCCCATTTCGCATGACGCTTGACTCCGTTGATTCGAAGTATCCTCCCGGATCCTCCCGGGTTGCCAGTGACTTTGCCAGCTGGAGCTTTCGCAGGATGATGTTCCGACGCCGTTAGATTTGTCGCCCGAGTGCATCGCAGAATTCTCATCCACACTGACGCAGAAGGAGCGCGGAAAGTTGCTGAAACGCTTCAGCACCGGAAAGGTCAAATGCCTGGTGTGTGGCTGCCTCAATGAAATCCAAACCGCATGTCACCACATGGTGTTGAGAAGGTTCCGAACTGCTCATGGATAGCTAAGTGGTCTAAGTGGTCTAAGTGGATAGCTTGTGGCTCTCAAAATTCTCAAAATCTGCTGGCTTTTCATGGCTTTGTCCGAGGTTCTGACGTTGTTGCGCGCGGAATCGACATCCCGGAAGTCACTGCAGTGGTGAACTACTCGGCGCCTTCGCATATCCAGACCTACATCCATCGAGTAGGACGGACTGCACGAGCCGGAAAGGCGACGTCAGCTGAGTCTGCTGAGTCTGCTGAGTTCTTGTTTTGGAGTACTGACGTGCAGATTGAAGCGCATGTTGGGAGATGGGTGTAATTAGAGCTCTCAATTGTATTTATTTGTTGTATAGTTATCTATCTATCTATCTATATATATATACATACACACACATACACACCAGCAGTTCTAAATATACGTACCGCATCATTTGTATAGATAAGAATAACAGTGTATATATATACACACTGTACGTGTGTATAAATATAAATAAATATAAATATATGTATGATATGGTGATGTCTACAATGTCTACTATCTATTTGTTGCAGGTTGGGCACACTTTCACTTTCGTCACTCGTGGTGATATGGATCGTTTTGAGAAGATGCTGCGGGAGAGTGCCGACTGCTGGGAGCGCATTAGCAGCTTGGCCATCAAATAATGGGAAAAATCATAATCCACGGCATTGAATGGGGTACCCAATTTTCAGACAATCCCCTTGCCAGATTCAACGAAGTTGCCAATGTGTATTCTTTCGGTGAAGCCTACCGCCGTTTCTACAAAACGCTCATAGTTTCTAGATGAACCATAGTTAATCCAACAATATTCACTAACATCCCCTCTTAGATAGCCACTAACATCCACTAACTTTATCCACTAACATCAGATCCACTAAGATCATGGCACTAACATCAGCCACTCTGTGGCATTTTTCCGAGGCAAGTTTCCCATCCCCAAGGAGGCGCGCAGCAGGAAGAAAATTTGGTGGAGCCCAGCTTTGGAAGCCTTGCAACGGTGCCTTGGACGACGACAATCGACGACACATACTGTGTTTCTGAGGTCAAAATTCTGCGAATCCCAGATTTTCAATGGACACTTACAGGAGACCACTATATTGGATAGTAAAAGTGAGTAAGAGTATGTAAGAGTAATAGCTTCTTGCAAAGAAGTGACTGGAATCAGATTCCCTCAATGAAATTACGTTGTACAACTACATATTAAGATGTTGGGACAAGCTGCATTCGAAAACGTATCATAGCAGGCTGAAGTTGGCGATGGTCTCTGCAGCAGAACATCCTATCCCATCCATCAGGTAGTTGCTACAAAGAAATCAAAAGTCTGGTACCATCATGATCAGTGCTCATCTCATCATATCAATCAACATCACTGCCATAATTGGATGTTCATCCCCTCCAAAGGTACAACTCACCATCTCGCAGAAAAAAACTGGAGCCGGCCTGCTCCGCCCAGGTGTTTGGATTCAGAATCCAAGGGTCATTTGAGTGTGGTGAAGCCCATCGATGAGGAAACGTTGATGGGTACTGGACGGCCCAAAGGGCAGGAAAAGCGTGGCCATGGTACAACCGAGGGCATCTCAGGGCAAGTGCCAAAGGAGGAAAAGTCAGAAAAAGATGAGAGAGCGAAGATGGAGCAGAAGAACTTGGAGAAGCTGGAAAATTCTGCGAACATGTTGGAGTTCTTGAAGAGTTGCGGGTGGGGCACTTCAGGTGGTGGAAGATGAGTCAGATTGCTGAGGATTTTGTTCTGCAAGAAGTCAGAGGTCAGTTTGGAACTTGGCAAAGCCGAAACAGGGATGGTGGTGGATGCATGTGGATGCCTCTTCTCTAGCTGGGTGCAAAACGCAGTTTCCAACCTGATGGACAGAGACTGGAGAAGTGCAAAAATCTTGTCTTTCACTCGCCAAATGACTACTGGATTGGGCACCCGCTTCCCAGCATGGAAGAACAGGATCGGAGATTTCATGGCTTCGGGGCATGGCCCGAATTGCGGTTTGCTGCAGAGTGGCTTGCAGACAGCAATCTCAATGTGGATCTAAAAAGGTGTACAGTATATAGCTGCAGAGTGTGAATGTTGCTTGCTTCGGGCTGCACTATGGTTCTTGGTCGGGGCATTCTCTCGAAAAGAATGAGAGACTCTAAACTCTAAACCGTGAATCCAAGCCATTCCGTGAACGTGCAGTGCTTTGAGCCTGCTTTTAGAGGACATCTTAGCTTGAGAATGTTGGCCTGCTGGATCTCAAGTGGCACAGAGTTCTTGTTCGTCCAAGGACGCAGCAGATGGCTTCATTAAACCAAATGGTCCAGGTGTGGACGATGCTTTCTGGAAGTTGCTGGTGGATCTGAAGCTAAGCCTTCGTAAATCAAAGCAACAAGGTGAACATCTCGATATCTGGCTGCTGGCTGGTGGTTTAAACTATTTGCTATTTTTCGTCTTACCTGGGATGGCGGTCCCAGCTTTCTGTATATATATATATGTGTATATATATATTTATTCATATATATATATAAATGTACATTATATGTATGATATGGATATATACACATATACACACGTGTATAAATACGTAATACCTACATATATCATATATACATATATCACACCTACATATAGCATATTTACACATAGCATATTTACACATAGCATATTTACATATAGCATATTTACATATAGCATATTTACATATCATGTATATATACATATAAACATAATATATATATATATATATATAAACTATTATATAAACAAGTACATCATGTTCATTCTTGGGTCATTCCATCCCGGCATCCGGCTTCCTCAAGTTGACAGGCGCAGCAGCGGATGCAGTCCCTCCTGAATGGCCTGGTGAACCCAGATGATGAGACCATCGCCAATGAGGTGCGCTGCTCCATGGACCCCAAAATGGGAGGTGGCTGAGACAAAAATAAGATTAGCCTCTGGTAAACGTTTACATAACTATGGAACATCACCATTTTTAATGGGAAAATCCACGAACTAAATTGCCATTTTCAATAGCTATGTTTGTTTACCAGAGGGTATTATATAGGGACTTTAAGGGACCTTGTATACAATCAAGAGTAGCCATGTTGGGATTCTAATGGCTGACATGACAATAATATTATTGGGACTTTGCATCAATAGTTCATTTTGATCAACATTTGATGGGAATGGGATACATAACGATTACCATTCTTATACAATGAAATCTCAATTACTGACAATAGGACTTTACTCCTGATTGGGATCAATATTTGATGGTTGGGATACATCATCAACAATTGATTGGATGCTACAATCAGATGAGGTAAATCGATGTAAATCGTAAGATGGGAGGATCCACATTCAACAAACATGCAAAACAAGCCAACATGATGGAGTGGGATACATAACCAACACCATGATATGGGTTTGTCTCAAAATACTGAATACCTACCACAATATTTGCAACTTTGCACGGGAAGGTTTTGGGGTAGCTCTATTTTCAGAAATATCCATAGAGGTTAAAGCAACCATATATAACTGTGACTGTTGTAAGTTGACCAGCACGAATTGGGGAAACGGAATGGTTCTCTAAAGCTTAGAATTGGCTTTTCCTCAGTTAACCCGAGGACAAAAAGCCGCATCAACGCTAGGAGCGACGGAAAAGAGAGCAGGAAGAGCAAAAGGCGGACGCATCTTGGATGTGTTGGATTCCCTGCTGATAACGATCATCACCCAGTATTATTTTTCTATAAACAGTGGGACATGGTTTTTACTTTCGCTTGCACTCACGAATGGTCACCGGAGTAGGCTTTGGATGTCCCCAGAACTCGCAGCCTGTACTCACCAAGGAGGAAGTGAGACAGAAGTTCATTTGGCGCCTTTGCGCAACTTGGTGGCAGATGCGTTTGTTTGTCAGGAGCTGGACCAGAGTGTGTAGCCTGGAACTCACTGCTGTAAACTGCAGAGCGTTCAGGTCAAACGCCATGACATGTCCTCGATCCTCTGCATGAAAAACTGATAAAAACTGGACCGAATCCAAATCGCAGTGCTCTTGCTCTTGACACATCTCCTTGCCTTGAGATACTCGGTGTATCAGTGTGTGAGGTCTATTCTGGCGAAGACCTGCCCCGTGACACCATGTGCCGCTGGCCGTTGTGACGGTTGCAGTCAGCTGTGTCGAAGCGTCGACCTGAAGTCGAATGGTCCCATCCGCCAGGTATGTGTATATCAAGATCGTCGACCAAGTTCATGGCGACAAGGCGAAGCTCCGATTTTCGGACATGTGGAGCTGCTGTGAACTGCGACATTGCTTGACATATCTTGACATGTTTGCATGCCTCTTGATGTTTACAAACTTCTTCTTGCACACTCCAGTATATACATGTACAATCATGTATATACTCTATTGTAGGCAGGTGTGATGAAATGTTCCACTACTGAAACATCGCCCTGTGCTTGTACTTGCTGCTTTGAATTCCCAGGAGAAGAATGATACCCATCCCTTCACCCCAAGCATCGAAAAAATTAACAAAAACACCTAGCCTAGTGCTTTTCAACATTTTCTGGTACCATCTGGTACCTTATTTCACATATTTCACATATTTCACCATTCATTCCCTGGTTCTCAGAAGAACCCTGCAGATCTTCAAGAGCCACGTCTCCAGTGAGTCGAGCAAACCTGTTTGGGTCGCTTGGTGAAACAGCTAGGTGAAGCTTCAGCCGTAAACATTCGCATATTTTCATGGTGGATATCAGTGGTTTAATATGGATCAATTACAATCAATTCATATCATACCACTTCAGGCCTCAATATGAAATACCGTAATACCCTACAAAAATGAAATACCTGGAATGTAGTGGATCTATTGATGGGTGTTGAGTATGGGATCACAATATTCGAGGCGCGGGATTACTTTGGATTCTTTGGATGTTGAATGTCTTGACATTTCTTCAACCTTTTGGACTATCTTTACATATCTTGGATACCTGGTCTGCAGGAGTTCGTTGTCGAGGAGACCATCATGATTGACAGCATACACGGACCTCCAAGGCACACCGTAGCTGGGCAGTGGAAGTCATGTCAAAAGGGCCACGTCTCCCCTGGGAGGCTGGAAATTCAGCTTTATGGGCAGCGGGTGCTGCTGGACGTCTTAGATAGGCACTGGCAGCGCTGACTCATGGCAATGAACAACGCGAGTTGAAGTGACTAAGAGCTTTGTGAAGATCATCATGATGAACAGGTTTCCAGGACGAATGTTTCGCATCTTGACCTGCGCAGATACCTCGGGCAAGCTGTGTTGAAGCTACCTGGGGCGGTACGCTCAACTCAGCTTTATGTATGGCGGAAGAGGGCGGAACCAAAATGATGTAAACTGCTACGAGAGAACTCCCACGAAAAAAAACAACAACAACACATTTTGGCGATGGACATCACAGGCCCTGTTGGCCGTTCGGATGGAAGCTGGAAGTCAATTCAAACTGTGCCTCAAGCTGCAAGCTGATATGTAGAGAGATGTAGAGACATTATATGACATTATTTTGGAACTTTCCACTAATTATCCAGGACTGTCTCAGAGATTGCAGGACTGCCCCTTCGGCATGCCCAGGGCTTCCCCCCTGAATCCCCTGCATCTGCCAGCCTACGATGGGACCAATGAAGTCCTCTCTGCCGGTGGCTTTAAATTCCTTCAGTGCGATGAACGACAAGATCGCAGCGCAGTTCGGGTTCAGGGCCCAGGAAAAGATGAGACAAGGGGAATCTTCAAAAACTATGAGATGTTTTTGCGACCATACAGCCAACCTGAGAATAGTGCAGTGACATAGTGACAGTTGTGACATAGATCACCTCTTTTCTTCGTTTGAAAAGAGCTGTGAATCCTCGGCCTAAGCGCCGTTCTTGGACTTGGTACACCTGAGGGTGTCTCGAAAAGCTCGGCTGAATGTGGTTTGGCAGGCCCAGATGAATTGGGTGGGGCCGGTTCTCATACCGTCTTTCACAACTGCCCCCTGTGAGCCAGATGACAGATCACCAGCTGAATGAACCAATTGAGGGATGCTCAAGACCTCTTTTTTCTTGGGGTTGTAGTTGTAGGAGGTTGATGAAACTATTTGCTGGCAAACCCTGCTCTCAACCAGCCAACAACTTTACGGACAAGCAGGTCCTGGGCATGGCTACATCGCTTTGGATGTAGCTTTTCCCATCCTTTACACTTCGACTTGGCTTCTCCAACTGGGCAATGCTCCAAATCCCCGGTGGTGGTGAAAAGCGGGCCTATACAAAGTTTTTTGATGAGACTTGTAATTTCTTTTTGCTTCTATTTGCCATGCTCATGCTGCAGGTCTGTGATGAAAAGCATCCGGGTCCTGCACCAGATTTGATCCGTATTGCCGAGATGGACGAGGCTGTGAGATTGACTCGATCTTACCACTTCTTTGTTAGATGGGATTTCTTGGCAATTTTGGAACTTGTTGGATACTCAGGTAGGGGGCGGAAGCTGGTCTGTGCCCTCGTGCCAGGATGCGTCCGACAAGAGGAGTTACCAGTTTCACCTAAAGGTAATCAATGTCAAGTTGCGCAGGTGCCATGGGGCAGTGTACATAGTTGCTGCAAACGTCTCCAAAAGAGCTATCGTTTTGCGATTCAGTATAGACAGGCCATGATGTTCCCTACCAAGCTTTATCGCCAGTTCCCGACTTGGAAGAGTTATTTTCATGCTGAAAATGCCGTAAGAAAACACCCCATCCCTTAAAAAAGCAGATATTCCCACTTTTTCCCTATGGTTGGGACCCCTCGCCAGACATTCCACCGCCAGGGCGACTGAAGGTCCCCGGCGCCTGGCTGTGTGCCTACGACTGATTCAGCCAGATGGAGAGGTGCGATGGGATGACAGATGTTGACGTGCATGAATTTCCATTGATTTTCCACCGATTTTCCGTTGATTTTCCATTGATTTTCCATATGGGGAATGGGTCAAAACCTACATGATCTTCCAATATTGTGGGGGATAAACATTGCGTAACATGGATTAGGTGTACCAGGGCTTTTTGATCCAAAGCCACATCACAAGTTTGCAAGTAAGTTTTTCACAGCTGAGCTTTATATGCTATTGCAATCCCAATGATATAGGATCCTTTGGTCTGCTGCTTTGCTATGTGCATTTGTCGGTCAGGTGAGCAAAGCCTCTCCAGTGCAGCACTCGCCACAGGCGATGGATGGACCTTGAGACCTCCTTTGAATGTTCTCTCCACGTGCAAATATGTTTGATGGTCGAAAAAAGGTGTGCCAAAGTAAGTATATAGCTCTTTTTTTGAAGGTAGCTGGGGTGGTACTCTAGTAGTAGGAGCACCAGCAAGCAATAAATTCTGGTACTGGCCAGGCAGGCTAGTTACAGAAGTACAGGCAGGCTAGTTACAGAAGTACAGTGTGTAAAATGCAAGAGATTGCCAGTGCCGGGAAAGGCCCGATTCTCTCCTTACTTGCGCTTCGGGATTCGGAATTTGGAATGATATCCGTGCTGTGCAGTGATTTGCTCAGGCATGGAGTTGCCCGGAGAGTCGGGTCGTCGAGAATTTGGAGGACCCTTTGAAGTCACTTGGCATATCTTGGCATGTTGCCATTGCCATCGAGGATTGCAACACCTATTTTGATCTACCAGGGTTGACCATGGTCCCATGCCCCACAGCCCCGATGGTTCAGCGAATCAGCGACTTTCAACGTCTTTCAACCAAAGATGGGAAAGAGTCGAGCTTCCGTCAACTAAGGGAGATGACGCACGCAGATCCAGATGAGGAATGGGATCTGTTGCTGAACCTTGTAATATGGTCCTACCATGTTAAATGCATGTCATGCACATGGCCGCAGATTGTAAACTGCTAATGTGTCAGTTGCTATCAAGGACAGCAAAGATAGACAGGTCAGAGTACTTGCGGAAGTTGTTTGGCATGAGCAATTTGACAGCACTTGACTGGTAATTTCATAGAGAAAAGTGCGTTACCCTGGCCAACGCACACAACAGGATCCTGTAACAAGTGCTTCATTCTTTATGTTCTCTTTTGTAATCTTTTGTAGGCCAACAAGCTGCATGGGTACTTGCACAGTGGTTACATGACATGTATCTACGAAACATATTGGGTAACTCAACCGCTCAGCCTCCTAGCAGTCCACAGGCAAAGCCGTAATGCTATCGTTTCACAGCCTTCTCAGCACAGCTGCATTCGCCTTTCATGTACACTTTCAGCTCAAAGATCTAAATGCATCGTATATGGATGTGTATGGGTGTTTTTTCCCCTTTGCACTAAGACTATGTTAGAACAATGTTCGAACTGCGTAAGAAAAACATCAAGATGTTCATGTTGGCACTGATGAACTGCTGGAAACCCCAATGTGTTGTAAGCGCTGGCGATTCCTGCCCTGCTATTATCGGATGAATGTCAAGAACCTTAGGTAGATAGTTCATGCGATAGACAGTGACATTCTATGCCTGCTTGAGAAACGACCCGTTCATTTTTCACACTTGGCATCATTTGCTCACAGAGTGGAAAGCACTGGAAGTTTTTTTGGCCATTGTCAGGAGTGCAACACAGCCGTTTGGTGTGAGGTGCCCGTTTGGGGCTACAGATCGACGGTGAATCACGCAGTGCCTTCAACTGTGGGAAAACGCCAGTGACATCAGTTTTATCCGCAGGATAGGCGCCTGGGATGGACCATGCCCACGTGGATGTTGCGAGAGAGTCACTTGCAGCTACTGTTGGGATGCCTAGTTGGCCTAGTTTGTGCTGTGGGGATATCCTGGATGGAATTTTCAACATCTCTAGCTTGACATGTCTTGACATGTCTTGATATCCCAGGAGTGCCAGAGTGTTTGGGATGGAAAACTCATGAAAACTGGGGTGCCAGTACTAGTCTTTCCCCAGACGGCACTCGTACCTTGGTTTTCACACCATACCTGGTACTGGATGTTCATCCCCTGGTATTTCATAGGTAACCTGATCCATTTCCACTTCCGAGAATCGGAGTATCTGAAAATCGCGTACCCCAAAATTAGATGATTTCTCATCATTTTCCTATTGGCCATTGATTGATGGTAATTCCCCCATTTTCACAGACCCACATGCAGATCTTGACCCATCTCCAAACCAAGGAGCTACACCATCGAAGCCCAGCTGCTGATGTACAGCAGCCACTGGGCACGGGATTGAAGGGTGAGATCGTCACATCAAGGGTGCCTTGATCTTACCCCATATGTCTCATACTTGGCCATCATACAACCATTTGAAATGCTGGGTTTAGTCATTCCAACCAGGGAACGAAACACCAAAGTTCCAGGATACTGGAGGGATTATGAGGGATTGGAAATCGGAAAGAGCCTAGGTCTTCCGGCCAAAGAGCAGGCCTGGAAACATCTGGAAACATCTGGAAACATCTGGAAACATCTGAGGATGAGAACTGTGAAGTTTTTTGGCAAAGAGCACTTGACAGCCTGAGGTACAGCACTGATAGCTCCACGGTAGCGGCACATTTTTCGGGAGCATTCCATTGCAGCTCCACAAACTTATCGTTTGGAGCGACTCATGGAGCGACTCAGGCGGCGAGCAAAAAGAAGTTCCACTTCTTTCGACAGAACCTGGCTGGAGCGCAGGCGGAGCTGTGGAGTTTTGTGGATCCATCTGATCCATCAGAAGAAAGATGAGAAGATAAGAAAAACATGGGAATGTCATGGAATGTCTATTTAGGAAAGTTTAGGAAAACACAGAAAGTCTAGGAAAGCACCATTGATGTCAAATCAAGCAGAGGATCTCCAATCGGACCAGGAGGATAAACCCACAAAGCTGGGTGTTTGGCGCGAGTCGCTAGGACTGGAAGCGCCCATGAGATGGTCACAAAAACCAGTCTGTGAATCAGCGAACTTCCTATTCGCTGCTTGTTTGTGTGTAGAAAGATTAGATAAAGACTGACTGCATTTTTCTGAAATGTGAGTTCCTTCATTTCTTTGACTTCATGCCCACGTGGGATTACGTGGGCACAAGTAAAAACTATAGACCTGCAAGCGCTGCAAGCTGGTTGCTTTGGTGCAAGAGTGAAACGGATAGGAGATCTACTGGACTCGATCGAGCAGTCGGATGAGGGGTGCCGGTGCTCAGTTGGGTGTTTGGTCCAGCTGCGAGCCATTGTATATCATTGTATTAGTATGTATTAGTATCATGTGATAAACGATGCTGGCACAGATGTGTCCTTGCTTACCGGCATTTACCGGCTTTGGTTGCGAGTTGGCCGCCTGTGACTTTTTCGTAGGCAAACAACGAAGCAGTGGCCTGTTCTGCCAAGGCTGGTGTGTGAGGCTCCGTTCACCTCCAGGGAAGGCACAGAGGTGGCGACCGTTAGGATGGAGTTCGGGGGCCAAGTTTCGAAGCTGCAGCTCTTTTTTGAGTTGAACCACCAACCATGAAAAGGACATTTGCGCTATGTGTAATATGTGTATCCGTATGCATTGGGGGCATGGAAAAATCCAGCTGCTATACCAAGCCATACCAGCTATGTTGATAGATTTTGATGTGAAAACCAGGGCACTCTTTGGGTTTGGGATTGGCCGCTTCATCCGCAGCCAATGACCGAGGATCGACGTCTCCTCGGCGCAAGCGCATCATATGCCACACAACTTGGTGTCCAAAGACATCTCCAGTTGGCCCGTGGAGAAGGTCAGAACAGGGTTTGGGCCGTTTGGATAGAGATTTCCGACATTTTGAGGGGGTAAGTGTAGGTTCACTGCTGTTGAACTGGCACTTACTAGTGATATACCGGTGATATACGGTACAATTCTGGTAGATATACCGTTCAGCATCACTGTTGCTGATTCAGTACTGGTGCCTTTTTGCCGGCACTTGCAGCATCCTTTTCTGGTCTTTTCCTGGTGGTTAAATACAGGTAGATGTTGGTGAATCACAAGGTGATGTTTATGGAGACTTGGTCAACCCTCTGAGGCACCACTACGTCGCGGTGCTCCGTCACAGGTCCTGAGTTGGTGGTCAAAGTTGGGACCAATGGTATAGGATATGGGGGTCAACATGACCTGCCTCCAATTTGGGTAAATTGCTTGACATCCTGTTTTTGATGTTTCTATTCATTTTGGATCATTTTGGGATGTCACCAGGTTTCCAGGATCCTGAAGCATGGCCAAGCATGGCCAAGCATGGTCACATGATGAGATGGTGCAAATGGAATGGACACGCCAGGAGATGATGCAGAACAAGGTCCAATATTTTGTCACAGCCCGGACCTCAGGGTCTGATTTGTTGCGGCACTGCGGCACAGTCGCAGAAGGAAGTTGTGTTGGTACTGGTACAGTCTTGTTCCGTGTTCGCCTTTGACGTTTTGCGGAGATTCATTTTCTCAGCTTTGTCTGAGACCATCTTGGCGATCTGTTCCTTCACCAGGTCATGGTAGACTCCTTGCCCAGCCATGAATTGTTTGGAACTCAGGGGGACTGTCCCAATCCCAACTGCCCGAAAGAGGAACTCAGAGGAACAATCATATTTTGACATTTTTACATGAATCACTTGGAGATTTTCCGGTTATGAAATGGTCCGGTTATGCTTTTGGACACCGCTGTGAAAAAGTGCCCCTAGGGAGCTGGGGCTGAGGTGTCTACCATATGTAAGGGTCTCGATGGGCGCGGTGTCAGAGTGCACAGAGGTGGGTAACTCCGTTTACTGGCTCCTTTTACGGGTGGAAGGGCACTCCGTATCTCTACGTGAGTGACAGTACAACCTTATGATAGACATGTGGGCTGAACGAAATTTGGAGAGGCGAAGACCGTGCATTCTGTGAACAACGTGACCTTTGACAAAGGGCTGATGATACAGAGCACATTGATGAACCGGAAGGCCTTGGTCGGGTCTGGCTGTACAAAGGGAGTAAGCAGCTCATCCTAAAGATCCGCTGATTTTTCTGGGTGTCAGTAGGGTAGAATCAAGAGGTTGAGCTTTGTGATGCTTGAGCTGTTTGTCTTTCGAACACATTGTCGCGTATGACTGTATGACGCCAAATAGTGCCACCCTGAGTTTGTGGGTGACACACCAAAGTCAAAAACAAGGTGTTCACTGAGTCAGAGGCTCTATATAAATGTTTGTTCGTGGCCCTGTGGCGAGTGGCTTTGACCCTGGCAGATGAGGCCAAAATTGAGATCTTGAATAAGGACACGACCAGGGATCTGCACTCAATGCAGAAATCCGAAATTCAGTGGTTGTTGGATCTGAAATAGAGTGGGAACTGAAGAAAGCAAAGTCTGCCAAAGTAGGATCCGCCACCGCCGATTGGCAGTCCAGTGACCTCCTAGGTCTTCAACGAAGACAAGGTGATAGGCCAGGGCGTCATCTGTGACCTGGAGCCTGACAAGGACTTTGCACCACTCAGCAGCACCCTTTGAATGCAAATGGGCGAAATGAAGGAGAAACAGACCCACCAACCACATCGCCACATCATTGAACAAGTCACTGTGAACTCTGTGGCACCATGAGAATCAAGCAATCATAGTCACCATGGAAGGACTACTGGATACACTGCTTTGGAGGCGGCATGGCCTTGGATGAAGGGAAGCAGACCATTGTGGTACATCGGGGCACATTCCCAACGTGCCAAAGGTATGCTCAGATTGCATCTATCGATTGACATCAGCGCTACACAAGATGCCCTGCAAACGGCTTCTAATTTAGAGACAATAAAATTATATAAAATTACTAACTATATGTTGGATAAATATTCTGATTTGCCCCTCCCTTGAAACAGCCAAATAATAATGGATTTCCACATATCAGAGAAGCAAAATGAAGCACCAGGAAAATAGCCCAGAATGACATTAACTTTTCGGAGCCCGGGTAATAAATTTCATCATTCCGTTTGGTATTTTCTAACCCGTTATGTCTTGGTCCTCTTTTCCCTGACATTTGTTTTATCAGGTGGCTTGGAGTTGGTGTCCAGCTCATCTTTCTTTCCATGGGTCTCCCTCCAAGAATCCTACCACCATATCGCATGTCATTCTCTGAGGTGCTGTCCTGTCTCCAATTCTGTCTCATTGGTCTCCCCCCAAAGCTTCCAGACTGGGATCCCCTATATTGCTTTGACATCCCATTGATGTGACATCCCCTTGAATCATTGCTTAGCATAAACTTTACCACAAGCAATGAATCTTTCTTGTTTGATGCAGTAGTGGCAGTATCGGCAAATGGAATTTGAAACATGATATCAATGATGTGATATGATTTTGTGCAGCTAATTTTCAACTGCAATTGGCAATTGCTTGCAAAACTTTGATTTGGAGTAGGCAGGAAGTGAAAACTGCTGGAACAAAAAGCTTTGATTGATTATTTTAAAGTTGCACTTATGAATCATCTGTTTCTTCTACTGCATTTTCATCAAACACACAATAGTAATTAAGACGGTAAAAATACATGATGCAAACAATCCAAACAGTAGCAGCTTTCATGCCATCCAGCCCGCTCTGAAGTGGTTGGATGAAGCATCCAAATAGGGATGGCACGCTGCAGCTTCCGCAGGGGTAGTGGGAAAAAATCTGACTTGAATATGGCTATATGTTGGGACTTCTGATTAGAGATAAACCAAATTTGGAGCATTTTTGTCGTGCTCCGTTTGTGCTGTCCAGTTGTGGTCACTGTTACAGCCCCGGGGCCTATCCGAATGTATAGTACATGTGGCATGGTGAAATCTTGGATTCGACGCCCATCCGAATGGCCATCGAACCACGCCCGTCTGGACTTACCTATAGCACGCATGGTGAGCTTTGCGGGCGGTTTTGGTTGACCACGACAGCACAGTGCCCTTGATGACTTTTCGAAGATTCCAAGGAAATGATTCAGTCATAGTAACAAAAACACATGGATATACATGGATGCAAATAGTATGTTTTAACATGTTTCAATGATTTTTTATGTTCAGTGCCAGCAGAATCACGGTGATGTCAAATGATTTGAGTCTTTCTAATTTGTCACTTGATGTATAGCATGTGGCAGCCACTTGCTTCTCAAAATTGGTGCCCTTCCCTGAACATGTTGCCAGAATAGACCAGATCAACAATGATACGATATTGTGTCATCATTCCAAAAATCGGTTGGAGAGAGAAATTGCAGAAGCCCTTGAATTTGGAGACAGACAAACATGGTTTCCTGCAGTCTTTATTTATCCTCAAACCAATCTTTTATTTCCCATGAAAGCGTGCGATGCTGTGTAAAGAATCTTCAATAATGATGAAGAAAACCTGGATACTCAGCCAAAATTGGTTTGATACTCTAGTCTCTAGTACTTTTATCTTTAGCTATCAATGGTAAATCTAATTTCTGACGATGTCCGGTGCACAACATGGCTACGTGGATCCATCACCTACTGGCAAAGGTACAGCAGATGAAACTGATGAGGTCGATCTTCAGGTGCTGTGCTTGACTGGAGAAGGAGTGACACTAGGCGTCCCTTGCTCCATGCTTGGATATGAGCTGCGCAGATTGGTGTCAGAGAAGCTTCCATGCAAGCCAGGCGCAAAACTCGCCGTGCATCATGTGAATACAAAGCTGACGCTGAATCAAACCTTGGCAGAGCAAGGAATTGTTGGGAAATCTGCAATGCTGTCTTGCACCTACATGCCGACAAATGTGTACACGGCATGGTGTTGTGTCAGTGGGCTCCCAACTAGTGAGAGAGAGGTTGCGCTGGAAGGTGTTACGCAACTTGAGGCAGCGACAGACGGAGAGTATTTACATTATCTTCCCTGCAGCCTTACAAAATTGACTTTTGGCCATAAATTCAACCAAAACCTGGAGCGGGTGACCTTGCCATCGAGCCTTCAAAGCTTGAGTTTTGGCCATGATTTCAACCAAAGCCTGGAGCGGGTGACCTTGCCATCGAGCCTTCAAAGCTTGAGTTTTGGCGATAGATTTAACCAAAGCCTGGAGCGGGTGACCTTGCCATCGAGTCTTCGAAACTTGAGTTTTGGCGATGACTTTAACCAAAGCCTGGAGCGGGTGACCTTGCCATCGAGTCTTCAAAGCTTGAGTTTTGGCGATAGATTTATCCAAAGCCTGGAGCGGGTGACCTTGCCGTCGAGCCTTCAAAGCTTGAGTTTTGGTGGGAGTTTCAACCAAAGCCTGGAGCAGGTGACCTTGCCATCGAGTCTTCAAAACTTGAGTTTTGGCATTTGCTTTAACCAAAGCCTCAACCGGGTGACCTTGCCATCGAGCCTTCAAAGCTTGAGTTTTGGTGGGAGTTTCAACCAAAGCCTGGAGCGGGTGACCTTGCCATCGAGTCTTCAAAACTTGAGTTTTGGCATTTGCTTTAACCAAAGCCTCAACCGGGTGACCTTGCCATCGAGCCTTCAAAGCTTGAGTTTTGGCGATAGATTTAACCAAAGCCTGGAGCGGGTGACCTTACCATCGAGTCTTCAAAGCTTGAGTTTTGGCGAGGATTTTAACCAAAGCCTGGAGCGGGTGACCTTGCCATCGAGTCTTCGAAACTTGAGTTTTGGCCATGATTTCAACCAAAACCTGGAGCGGGTGACCTTGCCATCGAGCCTTCAAAGCTTGAGTTTTGGCGATAGATTTAACCAAAGCCTGGAGCGGGTGACCTTGCCATCGAGCCTTCAAAGCTTGAGTTTTGGCGATAGATTTAACCAAAGCCTCAACCGGGTGACCTTGCCATCGAGTCTTCGAAACTTGAGTTTTGGCGATGACTTTGACCAAAGCCTGGAGCGGGTGACCTTGCCATCGAGTCTTCAAAGCTTGAGTTTTGGCCTTTGCTGTAACCAAAGCCTGGAGCGGGTGACCTTGCCATCGAGTCTTCGAAACTTGAGTCTTGGCTGGAGATTTAACCAAAGCCTGGAGCAGGTGACCTTGCCATCGAGCCTTCAAAGGTTGAGTTTGGGCATTTGCTTTAACCAAAGCCTGGAGCGGGTGACCTTGCCATCGAGTCTTCAAAGCTTGAGTTTTGGCGATAGATTTAACCAAAGCCTGGAGCGGGTGACCTTGCCGTCGAGTCTTCAAAGCTTGAGTTTTGGTGAGAGTTTCAACCAAAGCCTGGAGCGGGTGACCTTACCATCGAGTCTTCAAAGCTTTACTGCTTCCCATGTGCTGGGCATGATATCTGTCAGTTGTGCAGGCTGGGCTTAGTTTCTATGACGCGCCCCCCAATAGGTACCAATGCAAAAGAGGCTTGAGGCGACCGTTCTGTGATGGTAGAGGACCTGAACCTTTTTCTTTGCGAGCAATCTATCGGTGAACGCCTGCATCCGTGGGATGCAGATAGCTAAAAGGGTAAATCTTGGTTTTGTATACAAGGTATTACAAGGTGGGCCCCCCTAGTCATGTTTGTTGGTTTAAAGCTCCATCGTTATATCCACCATGAACCCTAGTTCTTGTAGTTATCAGCCCGCTTAGCTATCTTGGAGTCCCACATTGTAGAGCCAAGACTAAGGATATCTCCGGTGACCGGATCGCTAGGACATGTTTGTTGCCACAAATGGGAAATGAATAGGTCTTTCCGGTAATCAAACATGGCTAGCTGGGACGCCCCCAAATTAAATGCAGGTGTATAGCTGGGAAAATCATCTATAAATGGTGGATGAAAATCCTGATGTTTTTCCAGCCTGTCCTGCTTTTGTCTTTGGTTTTTGACATTTGGCCGTGGTTGAAGTTCCCCAGCACACAACAAAATGCAAAATTGCTGGGTTTCTTAAAGGTCTTGTTTAAAATTTTCCCCATGGACAATCCAAATCTGTAGAGAATATGATATATATATGTGTGTGTGAACCATCTGAAGAGATGTAAAACTTCTAATTTTACAGTTTCCAATTCTCAGAGGCAGGGGGGCACAGAAGGCCCATAGAGCTGTGCCCAACGAAGCTCGCTACGGTGTCCTTAGGATATCCAGGCTGATCACCTGGACGTACCTGCAGTTTCGATGTCAATTTTCCGAAATGGCAACCGGCTAAGCCAAGAACCGGCATGTCGTTTTTCAAGCATTTTTCAAACCAAACTTGACGTCAGGGAGGCAATGACTTGGTTCAGATGGAAATGTTGCATCTAGCAGTGGCTTTGAAATACATTCTTCTCGATCCTTCTCGGATCTGATCTTCAACCTTTTCCTGTCAGGTATAACTGGATTGTTTTTGCACGTAGGATGCATTCCACACCAGAATTCGCAAAGATTGTTCTGAGCAAGTGTGTGATTCATGCTGGATTCGTCACGGTGGCATGAACCCCTCGGGGAATGCTTGTCTAAGCAGGAGAGTGAAGCAACGACCTGATCTCTGAATTCACACATTTTAAGTTGGTAATTCGCTTAAGTAAAGTGTAACAGTTGGCCCTTTTCGTTTTTCACCCATCGGTCGAGTGAGTGTTGAAACAGCTTGCCGCCGTACCTGGCGTCACCATTTCGTCTGAACTTCCAGGGTTGGTAGACTTCAGTCGCGACAACTTCCTTTTTTCAATGATGCTCGAGAGACTGTTCAGCTTGTCGCACTTTGCAACATGAAAGATGTTACAGGCAAGTACATTCCTTCCAGGTGTGGTC